GATGCTTTTGAGTTGTGGTGTTGGAGGAAAATATTGAAAGTGTCATGGGCTGCCCACAGAACCAACATCTGTGTTGGAAGAAGTGCAGCCAGAGTGTTCCTTGGAGGCTAAGATGACCAAACTTTGTCTCTCATACTTTGGACATATTGTCATGAGGGACAAGTCGCTGGAGAAGGAGCTCATGTTTGCTAATGTGGAGGGTCAGAGAAAAAGAGGAAGACCCCCCAGTGAGATGGATTGGCCACATGGCAGCATTGATGGACTTAACCATGGCAACAGTACTGAGGTTACCCCAGAATCGGGCAATACTTCATTCTGCTGTGCATAACGTATCTATGAGTCGGTACCAACTCGATGGCACCTAACAACAACAACAACAAAGAGAGACAGATAAAAAGAGACAGAAGTTTATTATCCAGGAAATGGCTTACAATTGTAGAGTCCCAGGTCCCCAGTGGGAGAGAGAGGAAGAGTCCCTCCCACGTGTCCATTATGTTGAGAGCAGGCTACACTCTCAAAGAAGCTTCCCTTTAATTGACTGGCTGATTATAGCCATGCATCAAAGTTAACTATGCTTGCATTAGGTTTCATCACCATGGGAATAAGCACATCCTAACAGCTAAAACTTTGGAAATCCTGGCCTGGTCAACTTGACACAAAACCCTGACCATTATAGAAGTCTTCTTTTCTTATGTTCAAAACAAGCTTATGACACATATTAGAAATTTTTAGGGTGTCTTTGTGGTGGCAAAGTCAAGAACAGTTTCATCTTAAAAATGATAGCATCAAGCGTTTTGCAAAACTCTTTACCTTTGGATTAGTAATAATGTAATTATTCTCCTAGCCATTGTATTTGTTTTCTGGACTGTCTTGTGACTTAGCTGAATAACATTTATTGTACACCAAAGCTAATTTAAGTTCTTCATCTTCAAACCTCACTTGTAAATCTTTCTCCATTACTGTCTTTTTGTTCTTGTACTTTTTACAAGGAGGCTACTTAAGCTAATTTGTAGCAGTTTAAAAAAAGAGAGAAAGATTCTAAGTCAGGGAAGGTTGATTGAAAAGCTACCATGTGACAGAAACAAGAAGAAAAGGAGTTTGTCAGCCAGAGAGCACCAAGAAGGATTTTCTAGGCATGAGTAAAACCACAAAACATATTATGTGGTTCATTGACAGATGGACATCAATGAATTTTAAATTGAATCAACACTGAGATGTTGTAACTAATGACATATTAGTGTACTAGGCATGGTTATGCACAGGGTCTAAATAAGCATGAAATTAAACTCAGCTTGCATGGGGTGACCAAATCAACCATTATGAATAATTTGAAAATCAATTTAGTGAGAAATGTTTTATTACCCCTCCCCCCACAGAACTAATAGATAATTTGTCTCAAAACTAACAAATCTTATGATAAGGCAAAGTGACCTCAACTAGTCATAGTGCATCAAATACAGCATGCGGATTTGGGTGGGATTTGGTTAATTCTTTTCCTGAATTAATTGTGATGATAATCTATAAATTGTTTTTGCCCTCAAAAAGTATAATGAACTAAATAATACATACAAACACACACACATATATATATATATACTCAAGTTGTCCACAAAATAAATGGACTTACATCACGATCAATTCCTTTTATGCAAAGGGCAGGGTTCAGAGGAAGGTGACAAATACCAGTATTAATAGCCTGAAAGAATCCTTCCAGCCTGTCAAGTTCTTTCTTCAGTACCTCCTGTAAAAAAAATCATTAGAAAAAGTATTTAAGAAACTGTATACAACTTGACTTTTCCTTCAAGTTGTAATTTTCTTCCTATTGATTAAACACATTCCTTAATTCAGGGGCTGCACACCTGCTTGACTTTGGGGTCAAGCAGGTGATATACTCACATATGAGAAGGCAAAGGCTAAAGACAAAAAGGGGTGTGGGGAAAATAGGGAACTACAGAGTGCATGCCCTTTCTAAAGGATCATAAATTCAATTAGAAACAAAAGCATAACAGAGATCATGGTCAAAGAAGAAAAAGGGGTGAAATTGGCCAGTAACCCACCAATTTGCAATCCCTGTTTTAAGTACTTATTAATATGCTCCATTTTCTGGTAAATTTCTGTAATCTTAGTTTATAACTCCAAACACTTAACCTTAATAACAGAAGTAAATTCTAGAAAACATTGCTGTTGTTGCTGTTGTTAAGTGTCATCAAGTCCAACCCACAGCGACCCTATATAGGAATCCTGAGGAGCAGCTGGTAAGGTCGAACTGCCAACCTGATGTTTTAAACTGACTTTGTAGTCCAGTACATAGACCCACTGTGCCAAACCAGGACTCCAGAAAATATAGCAGAAACACTAGAAGTGAAAATGATAACTGCAAACTATATAACAATAATATTTGTGAACAAATATTTTCTATATACTAATGAGTGCATCTCAGATGATTCATGCATTCATATTGCTGAATTCTCAAAAGCAACCACAAACAACACCATTACGATTATGAACCCCCTGACAAAAGTGGGGGAAAACAATAACAGTGCATCAAAAAAACAAAAAAAATCTCTTATAACCCACTATTGAAAACTGCTTTAAGCCCAATTCTGAAATTTAGGGTATCCTTGCTGATGTCTGATGGATCTTGGCTGAAAGCAGAGAATATCAGAAAGATGTTTACCTGTGCTTTATTGACTATGCAAAGGCTTTCAACTGTATGGATCATGACAAGCTTTGGACAACACTACGAAGTATGAGTATTCCTGAACACTTAATTGTGCTCATAAAGTATCTGTACCTGGATCAACAGACAGTTGTTAGAACAGAACATGGGAACACTGAATGGTTTCAAAATAAGAGAGGTGTGCGAAAAGGTTGTATTCCTTCACCATAATTATTCAACCTGTACACTGAGCAAAGAATCCGAGAAGCTGGGTTCTATGAAGACAAACGTAGCATGAGGATTGGAGGAAGACTCATTAACAACCTGCGATATGCAGATGATACTACCTTGCTGGCTGAAAGTGAAGAGGACTTACAATATTTACTAATGAAGATCAAAGAGCACAGCCTTCAGTATGGACTGCATCTCAATGTAAAGAAAACAAAAATCCTCACCACTGGACCAATAAACAACATTCTTATCAACTGAGAAAAGATTAAAGTTGTCAAGGACTTCATTCTTCTTGGATCAACTATCAACACTCATGGAAACAGAAGTCAAGAAATCAGATGACACATTGCATTAGGTAAATCTGCTGCACAAGACCTTTTAAAAGTGTTGAAGAACAAAGTTGTTAGCTTGAGGACTAAGGCGAACCTGACCTAAGCCATGGTATTTTAAATAAGCTCATATGTATGCGAAAGCTGGACAGTGAATAAGAACCTTAGAATTGATGCATTTTAGTTATGGTGTTGGGAGAGAATATTGAAAGTGCCATGGGCTGCCAAAAGAACCAACAGATCTGTGTTGGAAGAAGTGCAGCCAGAGTGCTCCTTGGAGTCCATGATCGCCAAACTTTGTGTCTCATACTTCGGACATATTATCAGGAGGGACTAATCTCTGGAGAAGGATATCATGTTTGGTAAGGTGGACGGTCAGAGAAAAAGAGGAAGACCCCCAGCGAGATGGATTGGCAAAGTGGCAGCATCAATGGGCTCAAGAGTGGCAACAATAGTGAGGTTGGCCTAGGATCGGGCAGTGTTTCATTCTGTTGTACATAGTGTCGTTATACATTGGTACCGACTTGTTGGCACCTAACAACAACAACAACGTGGCACTGTGGATTAATGCCCTGGACTGAAAAGTAGCTTTGAGCTGCAAGGTTGGCAGTTTAAGCTCATCAGCTGCTCCTTGGAAACTTTATCCAGGGTCACTATGGGTCGGAATCAACTCAACGACACTTAACAACAACAACAACAACAACATTAATAATGCCTATTTAACTCTGGAGACATTCTTAGTTTTTACTCCTGGCTAGATATAACAATCTGTAATTTTAAAACCAATTAATTTTACTTGTTATCAAGTTTTGTTCATGACTAGAAAAATAATGAGCTCTCAGTAATATGAGGAAATAATAGAATTCCATTTCCATTGTGCTATATACCATAAGGATCCTTGATGTATCCAGAGTTTACATGTTGCCATTTTTAACATAAATCCCATACTTATGCATTATATTTTCCATTTTCCTAGATAGGTGAAGTATCATAGCTTCAGGCATTTCTACTAAGTGAAGCTACTTCAAGCAGGAAATAATTCTGAACTAGAAAAAGTTCTGGGACACTTTGTCTAAGAATATTTTCATATTGATTTCTGGAGAACTCCCATTGATTTTAGAAGAAAGGTAAAAAAGAAACCATGAGCTTCCTTGAGGACAAAATTCACATTTTAGTAATCTTCCTATCTGTAACTCCTAATATAGAGTAAATACTTAATTACTATTGAGTGATAGTTTAATACAATGAATGACTGTCCACTATCTTCTCACATCTAGAATGCTGAATTTAAGAGAACCTATTCAATGATCAGTGAAAGGAACTAGTGATGCAGATAATTAAAAAGAGCAAATGTTCTTTCATTAGAACCAGGAAATGAATAGCCAGTTTCATTATTACAACCAGTGAGGAAAGAGACACAATATTTTGTCTGTCATCCATGCGTTTTTAGTATAAAGAATGCTACTATCCATAATGATAAGTCTCATTTAATTCATTTTATTTGTTTTGACAATAAGTATCTTTAAAAATGCTTCTTTGGTTAGTAAAATGTTAGAAAGTCTAGATCTAAATTTTTATACTGTGGACAAAATTGTCCTAAAATTTCCCCTTGTGTCAAGCCACCATTTTGAAGAAATTACTTCATTAGGTCTTTTTACTCAACCTACCTTTAAGTTGGTCCCTTCTTATCAGGTTCTTTAAGATCAAGACACCATGTCCTAGTGATAGACACTATCATTAACTTTAGAATAGTAGTTGGAAAAACTTGATTAAAGTAATTAATTTAAGTACTGTGTAACTAAATGCATTCTAGGTTCCTAAGTTATACAGTTAAAACTTAATTGAACCAAAGTATTTAAAAAAAAGAAAAGTAACAACTTCATCACATGAAGGTAGATTTCTCAACAAACCTGTCTTTGAGGGTCACTGGCAGACTTGACTTTTTCCCCAATATCTCCCAGAATTTTGATTAGTTTCTTCTCCTTGGAAAACTCATCACTCAGAGCTTTCCCTGCACAGAACTGGAGTGCAGCCAGCAGTTTCTGGTACCAGCTTTTAAAATAAGCTTCATTCTGTGCATCCATTAGCAACCTGAAGGAAAGAGAGAAAAATAATTTTTGGTTTCTAATGCCGATTATTTTAACCACCTCCAGCAGGAAAAATAAAAGCATTTTAAACTAATTTATATTTGGTGGCTTTGGGCAGTTTAACAACCTGAAGTAGGGGAAAATGTTGTTTATTATTTGGCAATCATCAGGTTCCATCAGATAGCTAATGAGATTCCAAGAGTGAAGAATCGATAAGAAATTTGTTTTTTTCTTGTTTCAGTTCACAATGTACTTTTTCTTCTTTCAGTCTTCTTAATTCTGCAACAAACACTTAACCTAAGAAAGTGTTTTTACTGAATAAAATATAGATAAAGAACGTATTGTACTATATTAA